ACATCTTGTTTGGCTTTTCAGCATGGATGGAAAACTCTCCGAAGATGGCTGAAAAACACGAGTGTGGACAGAAAACTCCCAACATTGAAACACAGTTTTGAAATCTGTGTGCATCAGTGTGAATATGATCTGAAAGTATCTGCTCGAACAGATCAGAGACAGCGTGACACATCCTGTAACACACACGTTGACACACACACTTGGTTCATTCTCGTCAACAATTCAGATTGTCATTGGACGATCGTCCTCAATCTGCCCAACTCTCACTCCAAAGGATTATGGGGATTCTGACAGGCCTGTCAGTCACTGGACCTGGCCCCTCCTCTCTGTGGTTGAACATAATCACACCACCCCCTCCTTCTCCCACACACACTCCAGATCCCCTTGCAGCCATGTGACCCCACTTTAACCTCTCGTATCTGCAGGTTTTCTATGCGAGCGGTCTGTCTGAATTACAGCTGAGCGTCTTTGACTGATCTCAGTCTGTCACTTGCTGTTCGAGGCCTCTGTAACAGCTGCTGGGACGTTTTTTATCAGAAAACATTTGACTTTCAATGATCAGAGAGGTTCTTCTATCTTCTGTTTCTTGTTCCCAGGACTACTGAAACACACATTCTCACTTCAGAGAATCTGCAGCCAGGGAACAGTTGTTGCTTTTACTTGAAAAATGACTTAATTGATCATCAAAATAGTTGCACGTTCATTTTCTGTCAGTCAAATACTCTGTGAATCAACTTATTAATTCAGCTGAGTGTCTGTGTGGGTGGACGTTTTCACAGATGCACCATCTGCATGGACCATCACAGGCATTGCCAGATGACAAAATGTATGTCAGGCATACCCCTCGCAGACAGACAACAGTTTGTGTTTGTTTGCACCTGCTGTGTACCAAAGACGAGACTTAAGAATCACAAGATGTGACTTCTGTCGTGTTGAAACGGCGTCGAGTGCAAGAGCTGGTACGTTTTTCCCACAGCTGCCTCTTTGCTTGTCAAACCCTACACTGAAATTCAGGCACTTGATCCTCTCGAGTTGACATCAGGCGATGTTGTCGAGATCCAGTTCTTTTTCTTTTCTTTTTTTTCCCTCCAACATTAGCATGTGACAGTGTGTGTTTCTTTTGTGTTGTCTTTGATAAGCAAAAGGTTACAATCCCAAATTCATAATCAGTCTCCAACCTGCCTTTTGCCTTTAAGTGAAGCCAAAAGGTTTCTCGGTTTCTTGAGGCTCCATTTCCTTGTGTTTCCACGGGGGACCTGACGTGCCATGCTCAGCAGCGCTGTAGCAGAACAACAACCCCCCCGGGGGCGAAAGACGCATGCCGGCTCAGAGAAAACGGGTGTGAAAGATGTCAAAGCAATTACAATAAGCATTACAGTTGTAATCTCCCCTGACAACAGGGAGTGTGAATGAACAGGGCTTTACCCACTTCTCCTGCCTCTGGCCTCTCCCAGCCCAACAAACCGCTGCTTCCACAGCAGTTAATGTTTCCTCCGGTCTAACAGCTCCAGAAGCTTCTTGTTACTCCCAGCACGGGGAAAGTCTTTTTTTTTCTTCTTCTTCTTCTTCTCTTCACCCAGGAAGCAGCAGGTGAAGCTGAACATTTGTTCCCTGTGTTGATGGAGTGTTACCCTGAACAAAAACACACTCGAAACATGTGCACAGTCTGGTAGGTGTCAGCAGGGAAACTGTTTTTGATAAATCAGTGCCTCACATTATTGACTGTGCTAAATGTACATGTTTTATAATCTTGATTTCTGTTCCCTCAAAATTATTTAAAATTTTATTGTGAAATTACTGCTGGATTTGAGCACTTCAGATATTTCCTGGCATTAGTAGCTGTGCTTTTGAAGGCCAAGAATACTTGAAACAAAGTAGTCTGTACATTATGTTATCCGATATATGAAGGCAGAAGTGTCTATAGCTGTGGAAGAGGCGAGGTGAAAAGCTGGCCTTCATAGAGAGGGGGAAGAACTGATGAATCGAATGTAGATAATGATGCTTAGACTCTCTTTAAAGACATTCACAGCGATGCACTCAGTTGCTCTCAAGAAAAATGACAGAAGTAGTTATGCGAAGAAAGAAAAGACTAGAGAGAAGTTCAAACCCTGCTGTACACACACACACACACACACACACACACACACACACACACACACACACACACACAGTCCCGTTGTCTGTTTCACAGGAAGTCACAAAAGTTGTTTGACACAGCAAATTTCCAACATTGGAGTTGTGGACAGATGACGCACTTCTGCCAACAAGCAGTTTATTTGATGCAAACTGACGCCTTCATTGCATATTGCTACCTTCTGTTAAGTTTCAGGAATTTATGATGGGCTTTTATCGCCATTTTCAAACTGTATGCACATGATGTCTTTCAAATAAATGAAGAAAATAATTAATTGAAGTCCTAGATAGTATTTCACACTCCACAATAAGTCATTAAAATGACTACACAATATGTTGTGAAATAAAGTTCCAAGAGGGAAAGAAATGCACACTTGTAATAAAGTACTCATTTGAGGTAATTAGTTAAGAGACAATCATTATAACAAAAAACAAGGGGCAGAATTTTGACTTCAAGGCAACAATTGAGTACAGTTTGGGGACAAAGGTGTTTTAATTGTCAGTTGTAAAGATTTAGCAAAACATTCCCACTGAGATGTCATACAAATACAAACTCTTGGTTAAGAAACTGCTTTTCAACTGAAATTAAACAAGAATTAGACAAAAAACTGAACTTGAACTGGAACATGAACTTTTAAAGTAAATAAGATGAAATGAAATTAGAGATAAAATTGCCTCAGGAATTGTTATTGCAGGTCAGTGGAGCCACAATAAGACCCTGGAGCCATGTTTTGTTCTCTTCAGAATTTGATCAGTATTGTGTGCAAAACTTAAGGAATCACATATTCACACTTTACAAAAACACACCGTGCTGTTTTATTGACCTTTGAATGCTTATGACAGTAAAACTCTTAACAGAAACAAAATTACTTTCTGGTTCACAAAAGCTGTATTTTTTCCACAGCTGTGCTTTGATTGCTTCTTACGGAGCCTTTGTTGTGTGATACGGGTGTCAACTCGCACATCACTACACACCTGAAGTGTGCCTTAGCTACCAACACAAAGTTTTTGTTTAATATTCTGTTAAGTAGACAAAAAATTGTGTAACTGCCCCGAAGCTTTTAGGGCAAGTTTTGTTAATATCCAATCTGAAAACATTTGCACTTTGAAAGTCGTATTGGTCACATTAGTTAAAAGTCTAACTGGAAATTCACATCAAAATCAAGACATCTGTGGTGTTTAACATTTTACTGAAGCGTCTGTTTGGTTCACGTTGACTTTGATCTCCCTTATTTAATCTGTCCTTTAACGCAGTTGTACTTTCTGCAGCACGGAGGACAAACTTGTCTTCTCCGGGCTGTGGAACATGAGACATATACTGGACAAAAATACTTAAACAATCGGCTCCAGGAGGAGCATACAGGAAGAGAACTGTGCTGTTGTTGATTTCTTGATTTTATTCTGATTTTGTACAGAAAGCTCCCAGTAAAACGTCATCCATCAAAACAGACATCAAACAGAAAGAATCAGAGAAACGCCCACCAACTAACTGGTTCGGCAGACCCCCGCTCATCTGCTCCGAGCTGGACACGAAGGGAAGCCAAACACCATCCATCTGCACACACTGCGGTGACACACAGCTGGTTGAAAATTGTTTTTTCTTTGTTTCCCTAAGCCCAGTTCAGACCAAAGATTCGTGACGAGTTAGACAAGCAGCTACTTGCAATGTACCGTTCTGCAACCTTCTAAAAACCTGCCAGTTCACAACAATGCAGATGCGAGATAGATCGTAGATAATATCATCTCTAGTCAACAACTCTTTGTACTTCTGATCTGTCACGCTGACAGGAAGTGACCACCATGAGACGGCGTATCATCTCTAGTCAATGACTCTCTGTGCTTCTGATCTGTAACGTTGACAGGAAGTGACCACCATGAGACGGCGCATCATCTCTAGTCAACACCGCTGACACTTTTCTCTACAACGTTCTAAAGCAGTTTCGTCTTGTCGCGCATCTTTGGTCTGAACTGGACTTCTGAGAACCAGAGACCATACAGCAGTTAGTCAACAGACATGTTTTGTTTTTTTGTTTTTTTTTTCATTGAAATTTTGGGTAAGAGTAAAAGAATTGCCACCTGCTACTCAGTAACCATTCACACACTCTCATACACCAATGGAACAGCCATCAGGAGCAATTTGGGGTTCAGTATCTTGCCCAAGGATGCTTCAGCATGTGGGCTTGAGGAGCCAGGGATCGAGCCAATATTCTAATTGGTGGATGACCTGCACTTCTAACTTGAAGGAAATGTAGATATGGGGTCTGGGCAGGTTACACCCAGTTGTGAGCTCTGTGAAATCAGTTAAGAGACCGTCCTTATAAAAATCTTTGATTTGCAGTAAGCCATTGTCGTTCCTGATACGAAAAGGATTAGTTTTTAATTTCTGCCTACAAACCTCTGATTGGTTGATTGTTTGTGATGTGGGCATTCAGAGGTCTGGCAGCAGGCTAGGGGCAGTTCTCACTTCAGAGAGACAAAGGAAAGAAGCAGTAGAAGTGATGCCAGGAAGTGAGATCTCTGTGCACTGTTGTCTGTTCTTCCTGTTGATGTTAATATGACTGGGAGTTTGTTCCATCTCACTGTAATGAAAACCTGCTGCTTTATTTCAAGCTTCACTGTTGTGTATGTGTGCAGATGTCATCATGTGCAGCCAATCTGCTGATTGGCTTCTGCTGTCGTGTGATATCAGCATATGAACAGCATGGATGAAGTGAGATGTTGCACCATGAATGCCTGCCACGTTTGCATTTTCAACACCAGACTCAACAGACTGCTTGTTGTGAATGTCTGACATCGTTCTCCACAATCAGCCTCCACCTTCTTGCAGTCGTCTTCAGGTCTGTGTGTGTGTGTCCTCTCTCCTGCAGAAACCGGGGATGGATCTGGCCGACACCTACATCACCTTCATACGGCAGAACCAGGACATCCTCCGAGACCGCGTCAACGACGAGCTGTACATCGAGACTGTGTTTGATGTGAGTGCTGCTTCTTGTTCTTAAAGACTTCTTGCAGTTTTGTCCGTAATTTTTATTAGAGATAGTTCATAAATGAGATCTGCGAACATGATGATGTTATTTAAAGGAGGTCAGATCATCAGACAGGTGGGAAACAAACCAACAATTTATCCAGCTGATCCAAAATGCTTAATGTGGAGGTCAAACTCAAAGTCAGTGCACCTGAAGTGTGGGTAATAATCAGTCATTGCTCAGGAAAACTGCACAGGAAGAACACTAGGTCAAAGAGGAAACAGGAGGGCGTTTTGCAAAGTGTGATTCATCAAGATGAATAAATAGTTGGCACTAATGTCTCTGGTCACGTGCCATTAAACGATCACAGAAGAGAAGGACACAACGACAGTATGTTTGTTTTTTTGTTTATTTACAACTCTCCTTCTCAGATGCTTTTGTGTTGTGATTACCAGATCAGTTCGACTTTGCTCCTTGGGGACTAACTGAAGCCTCTAACACCCGCTAACTCTGACTTTTGTATTTCTCTGATACTCTGACCTCGTCACATATTACCACTCGGTCATGGACTTTCCACATCAACATGTGGCATGCAAGGTAGCCTGGGTTCGTCCGTTGTTGACGTTCTGTGACACCGTGTCAACTTCTGCCTGTTATTTGCATTGTCTGTTTTCAAAATACACTTCTGTTTTTACAGGAAATGTACAGTTTACATACAGTCTCTTTCAAAATAAAAGCACTACGTCAATACAACACAGAAAATTGACTTTTTTTCCCTTCAACAACAAATGAACATGGTTTAGGCAACAAGAGCTCAAGGTTGGGTTTAGGAGAAAATAACAGGGTTAAGCTTTACATTTACCCAGGAGGCACACAGTGGTTGGATCCATCCACCACCACTTCCGCCTCGGACTTTTCGTCCCCTTAACTTACATTGTCCCACTGCATTTCCCTCTGACACCGTCGGGCACCGTTACACGCTGGCGTCGCCCAGCCACGTATCATAACGACGTGAAAGGACGGCTTTCGTTCCACCTTCTTGTTTTTGCTCCTTTATCCATCTAGCTTGTATTCTCAGTCCACCTACTCCGCTCTTTCTGTCTTGATTTAATTTCTTTTCTGCTTCACCTCTGACATTATGTGATGGACCGCTCCACTTTAAGAGGTTAGGGGAGGGGACACCTGCCTTACAGTATAGGTAGTATAGTGACAGATTTAGACCATGTAATCAGATGGGTTGTTCCAGCATCAAGTTTTTCCAGTATTATTTGTGGTGGCCTCGTGGCTCACAGCGTGGCCCATCTGGCATTTGCCAGAATTGCCTGATGACCAGTCCGAGCCCGACTCCCTGGACAAATTACTCTGCAGTAGCCACAGGTATTCATCAGCTTCAGTTCTGATCAGCTGCGATTGGCAGTGATAAAAATACAAGATGTGTGTGGCCAATTTTCACCTCTTTTTTCGGTGTTCCACAAAATAGTGCCTGTTTCCCTCCAAGCAGTGCTCCAACATCATTCCAATTTAGTTAAGTAACGGATACAAAAAAGAAATAATCACTGTAACATTTTCGCTGGCCTCCATGCTGCTTGCTACTGTTTCCTAACCTGTTTTCTGGTCTGTTCATGACATTGAACACGACACACTAGGAAAAGAAACAAAAAGGCAGAATGTCTACTGGCAGCAGGTTGTGATGCAAAAAACTGCATCAATGAGCTAATTTTGGTCATTAGAGTTCAAATATTTACATTTTCCTTAGTAATCAAAGAAGAGTTAAAATATCAAACAGAAAGTATGAGCCTCATGGAGCGCACCTTTACTTTCTTAGTTCACATAGGAAAAGTCATTAACAGCTGCACCTCCCAGCGCCCGAATACATAGAAGCTGCATAAATACAAAATGGATGAGAGAAGAAAAGCAAGTAGGAGATGAAAATAATGCATTCAGACCTGACATAACAGCAGGAAAGGAAAAACATAAGTGCACTCCCTAAAACCTTCAAACATGTCAGTAAACTCCATCTACAGGAAACAAAACTACAGCGAGTCTGAGATGCAAAATACAAAACAAGACAGCAGAAATGTTTGCAGGTGATATTAAAAAAATGCAAACAAAGTAAACAAATCACCTTCATTTCTTCTTCACTTCAAATAAGATGTGACAACAAGATTAAAGCATGTGCTCTGAATATTTATAAAGACATGACACATCAGCCGTGACCTGCTTGAAATGAAATGAAATATTTAGAATGGTGCTTTTTGTGACAGAAAGAAGAAAAAGGAAAAAGCAACCAGGATCGAGATTATTGAGAGAGGAAGCAGTCATGGCCGTGACTTCTCCACTGTCAGCCGGCTGCTGACTCTCCTGCAGAGGATCTGAGCTTGAGGACATAAAAACATAATAGTGGTCCACAATTGATTCTCCAGGCAGGGTTACCTGTGAGCTGCGTTCACAGCCTCATCGCACAAAACCACAGTGAGCAGAACATTTCTTGTTTCTCAGATAAGCACTGAAGACGCACAAAGGGTTTTTCTTAAGATATCTCAACAATGATCTGTTGTTGCGCTGTGTTATTATACGGCTTTGTTGAATACATGCAGCAGCAGTGTGTTACTTCACACTGTTGCTATGGACGCAGCTCAGATCTGAGACTCTGGCAGAAGCAATTAAATCATTTTTAAATCAATATTTTGTGCCACATTATTGATTGTAACCATGTCATAAGTGGGATGATGAACAGCAAGCAGGTCATTAATGCATGAAATTTAAAATGCTTACAAAGCAGACGCTGGGGTCTGAGGAGGCTAAAATAGACAAGTACCTCTCCGCTCTTACTGCTTTCTACTCACAAGCAATGTTCTCTGCAAACAGCTCTCAGATCTTTAGGATGCTAAACAAGTCTCTATTTTTGTCAATTTTCATTCTTCCCCCAATACATCCTCGTCTTCCTCTATTATGTCGTCTCCCTTCACTACAGCGCCCAGCGGTCGTCCTCTTCCCTCTCCGCGCTCGATTTCCTGCTTATCAAAGCTTTTTCTCCCCTGTAGATTCAGGAAAAGCATTCATGGATTCTCTCCAAAGTACTAATATGAGTCTACCCTCCACCTTTGCTTGTTTATTTATCAGAGCTGTCTGCAGAATGTAAACAGGTAAAATAAGTCCATGATGCATTCGGATGGTGTTGTTCTTCCTCTTAATTGATTGGTTTAGTGATGCTTTGTGCAGTGTGATCCCTCGATTCATAGTTCCTGTTTACCATTGCATTCCTCCCAGTGGCTTCACCTCCAGTTTGGTCATATGTTCCCATTAAAGCCCTCTTTCCACCAAGCAGTTCAGTTCAGTTCAGTTCAGTTCAGTACACTTTCTTTTTCTGTCTCCACAGTTAAAGTTGTGGATGGTCCCAACAGAAGCGTTCCTTAGCGTCCCCATGTTTGGTCCCCCCTCTGTTGGGGTACCTAGCACACAGATCTGGTACTAAAAGGTGGAGCTGTGAACACTGCAGTCTGATTGGTCAGTAGAGGACGGTCACTTTGCTCAGGGCTGAGTTGTGTCTGGTTTTGAGGCTCATGTAACCACTGTTCATACTGTGGAGAGTTTTATTAGTAAACTGTAACTATAAAATGAAAGGATGTTTTGCTGCCTCTCACAGCAGCTGGAGTCTGAGAAAAAATAACTTCATTCACTGTTCTGACTGCCGGCAACTTTTAAGGTGGAACGTTAACTTGTAATGTTACTCAATGCATGAGTTGATGACGTGAATCCATCAGCACACCTTAAATTTCACTGTGACAACTTTGACCATCACTTTAGTTTTTATATGACACACAATTCAATATTGACCCTGCCCACATTTAAGGGTACTGTTTGTAATAGAAACACTAGGGTCTAGGTACCATGTCTGCAGGGTTACTTTGGTTCCTTGTTTGGTGGAAACAGTGCTTTAAACAACACTGGTGGGAAGCAGGTGAGGGATCACATCCTTAATTGGAATGTGGGGGAGAATGTGCTCAACCCTCAAACTATCGCTTATAACTGGCAGGTGAATAAAGTGTCTCATTACAAAGGTGTCAAATACCATTTGGTCATCGATCTCCATGTCAGATATTGATGTAAAAGCCATCCATTCTCAGGGGTACGATACGTCATCAGGCGTTGTCAGTTTATAACGCTGCTAGATGTCAGCTTGAAATGCTGCCGGACAACAACATAATTTAAGGAGCTGGAAAGTTCCTACAGGGCGGGTGCGAGGGGGGGGTGCATGGGTCCAACAGCACTGGACGCGGTGTTCATTTCCTGTATGAATGTTGACCCAAACTATGATGTGTTTGTCTAATCCTAACCACGTGCGTTTGTTGCACAAGGAAAAAAACTTAACTACGGATTGTTTCATCAACATTGTAAGTTTATTTTGAAAAAGACTGTCTGCATCTAACGGGCAGAAACTGTGCATTTCCTGTGAAAACAGAAATGTATTTTGAAAAGATACAATGCATGCAAAAGGCGCAAAGGCATCTAGATAGGGATAATTGTCTTCGGCCATCGTAGTTAGCAGCTCCTCTGTGACATGACCATGAAAAAGCACTGATTTGTTTATGTAAAAATGCTTTATTCAGTGTTTATACCAGTTTAAACTGCCAGGTCCGTTTGTTTTGGAGAGGAGGAGACCTCTGCAGATAATTCAGCATCAACATCTGGATCTTAAGTTATTAGAGAAAAAAGGTGAGCACACGTTAGCAGGTACTAGGCTAACATGTCAGAGATACAATGATTTGCACAACCCTGGCTCACTCAACAGCCGTAAATTGACAGCGTTCCAGAACGTCAATAACAGACACGCCCAGGACACCTAGCGTGTTACATGTACATATGAAATTCCACTGATCAAGCGGTGATATGTTTGAAGTGAGAATATGTTGGAATTAAAAGCAGCTGGAAACACTCATGTCTCTCATGTTCTCATAAAATCCAGATGCAGTTTGATACTCTTGTTTTCACAAAGCAACAAAATGTGT